AACCATATAAGTTTCCGATATTTTCCAAATTAACAATTTTGACCAGGTCAAAATGGTATGAAAAATGTGTCAAACTTTTATGGTTTGATTGGAATAAAAGAGTTTTCTTGTAATATGATTTAAAGATTGCATAAGGGTTTCACCAGGATAGAAACATGATGCAAGAGATAATCTTGAAATATAATACAAGAGAACAAGAAGATTATTTTAGGCTTTTAAATTATTTAAGTTCAAACCAAAAAATTTTGAGCATTCAATTATTTCACACACCAAAAGTATAGGTAACCTTAAAAGATAGAAAACAGTCAAATACTTTCCCATTCATGGCTTTCATTGCATTACGGGCATCATCAGTTAATTCAAATGTAACAAAGCCAAACCCTTTAGGCCTCTTGATTTCTTGAAACGAAAACAAGTCTAGCTGCAATATTGATTCGATAAAATTGAATGTTTCAAACAACCTTGATATAAAAATGACTCATAATTACCAAAAACAATAACTAAAATTAACATATACCTTCATTGATTGCACCAAAAGGTGGAAACAACAAGAAGCTCTTCAAGTCATCATTATTTGTAGTGTAAAATGACAATCCTACATAACAATAACACAATCTTTAATTATGAAAAAGAAAGTGGAAAAACTAGTGTCTAGAAAATGTAGAATGATAGATTATTACTCACGAATAGCTGAGTATAAGAAGGCTCTTTTCCATTGTGTATGGTTGCCACAAATTTGCGAAGTGTATCATTTGAATATGACATATATCCTAACAAAATAAATAAATATCCATAACAATTGACATATTCAAGCCAATAAACATCATACTATACGTTAGAATTACCAACTAGTTCTCCAATTCCTTTCACAACCCGCTGAACTACTAGCCCACATACCTGATTCTATTGATAAATCTGCATCTCTTGTTGTGATTCCAAACACAAGCGGACACATATATGATAAAAGAACTAAAAATCCTTTCTTCTGCAAAATTGATTAGGACTTTCTTTATTATTGATTTGAGGTACTGGCAGACAAAAAAACAGGGTAAATAAAATGAGTAGATTATACTTTATAGAACTTGAGGGGAAAAGTTTAGAAGTTCATATTGGGAAGGTTCATGACATCTTCACAAATAGTTGAAATCCTTGAATCGCAATAAGTAGAAAGGACCTTCACCTTCTAGTCTGGATATAAACAACGAGCATAAAGTTAAATCAGTATTATGTGATAAGTTCTACTTATATGAGTTGGGTATAAGAACTATAAAAAACAATAGGATTATATACAATTTACAAAACTACAAGGAGGATTCGATCAAATTTTCATAAATCGTCATATCGCACACAAGCGATTGATATGTTATAACAATTGGATTAAATATTCGATGTACATGTATGATGAAAGCTCATTGATTATCTACTATACAAAGATCGAATAAAATAGTGATGATTGATGCAAGTTAGAGAGAAATCTTACCAAGGAGGAAGCTATAGTCGGAGTCGGAGGAGGTTGTAGTCAGAATCGGAGGAAGGTGTAGCCAGATTCAAAGGAAGCTTGTTGCGGTTGCAGGACAGTTTAGAGAAAGCTGTAACACTTGTTAATCTGCAGCGCTTGTAAACTCTTATGTAAGAGGAGAACGACCAAGAAACGGTGGTAGTGGTAGGCACAGAAAAGAGAAAAGAGAAAATAATGAGCCCTTTTAGACGATTATGTTAAAAAAAATTTTGACTTCTCTTGTTGACTTATATTGACCATCTTTGACCGATTAGTCGTTGTTGACCATTTTTTTTTAAATTTACTTATTTATTATAATATATATATATATATATATATATATATATATATATATATATATATATATATATATATATATTACTTTAAAAAAATAGATTTTTTAGTCGCATGTTAAAACATGTCACTAATAATTATGAATATTAGTGATATAAAATATTAAGTGTCATTAAATCCATTAATTTTTATAGTGACACATAGAATATGCAACTAAAAACATGATATAATGACACATCAAACTTATGCCATAAAAGATATATGCCACTAAAAGACATTTTATTAGTAGTGTTAATTTAGGGTGCAAATTGATAAATTAATAAATTAATAAAAATGTATTTATTTTTATAGTTTGCCAACCTACACACCACTAATTGGGATAAATAGAGTTTTTTCACATGTAAAAAGAATAATGGTTTGCCGATCAACAAATAGTTAACTACTAAACAGACAAAATCGTATATTTTATATTGTGTTTTTTTATGTATCAATCTATGAAGTCGGATAATTGAGGAATACATAGTTTTGAAAAAAAATCGTAAAGGGTATATTAATTTAATCGTTAGTAAAAAGTTGTGTTGTTAAACCAATAAAATAATAAAAGTATGTTATATTTAATAGTCATTGTATGGGAAGTGATATTTTCATTTAATAATTTGAACCATCCACATGAGGTACAAGTTAGTAAAACATACATTTCAAGTGGATGAATCAATTTATTATAAGTTCCATTGTTGTATTTTCTAATTATACACAATCTGATAAAATAAAAAACCGGTTGCACAACCTACATGGAATAATAGAGCTTGCATGTCATTATCAATTTAAATTATAAAACTTATGTGAAATGACACTTACAGTTTGTTTCTTGCTGTGACACATTTTGACAGAGGAGAGGCCGAGATGAAAGTTTACAATGGAGTTAGGTGAGGGATGAGGAGGTCTAAGCGATGAGAGAGTTTGGCTGTGCTGACGTCACTAGCTACGACTGCTCCCATGTCCTCATCTCTTCTCCTCCCACATCCTTAAACCACCATTGAGAAAATTATTGTCTCAAATCTTGCTGCAAATCAGGTCCCCATATACAGGATTACAGGTGGATGGAATCCAATGTGGTTTGTGTGAATTCAATCATCTAGGTTTTTTGTTGCTTGACTTTTTCTTTTTTAGCCTTCAATTTATAACTTTTGTAGGTTTTGGGGAACCATTTGTGGGTTTATTTTAATTTGAAAATTAAGGTTCATTATGTAGGTTTCTTTGTTGGTCTTTCTGTTATAGTCATTGCATTTGTCAGAATCTTACCATAGAAAATGAGGTCGTCGGAGGGAGGCGATGGCCAAAATAAAAGGAGAGGGCGTTTGGTGTGGGTGGCCGGAAGAAATGATAGAAAAGGTTGAGGTGAGTTGATGGAGTCCATCTGTAATTTAATTATAATTATAATACTAAATAGATAAAAACCAATAAATTAGTGTAACAAATTCTGGTATTAATTTCAAGGATCAAAGCTACGAACAAACGTTATCACATGAATCATTTTTACAAGTTGACCATTTCAATTATTTAGTTATATTTATTGGTAACATTATTTAAATTAAATTATACTTTTATTTGAAAAAGTAAAAGTTTGAAAATGTCAAACCCTCCTGGCTCCCTCACCGTTTGCTGCTGCTCATATTGCCACTTGTTTTCTTTTCGTCATATTTTTTTATTTAATAGTATAATGATACCACATTTACATCATTTTTACTATTTTTTTTTGTTAAATAAGTTATGGTGAATAAAAGTTCAAAACTTGGTACAAAAATCGAGATAGAAGAGCATGTGGGGAGTTCCATCGGAATTTGAACCGGACCATAACCCAATCAATAAGGTCTGGGGCGGTCAGACCGTGTCTTAAGGGCGACCACTCCACCTCACAACACACTCCCACTTTATCCAGGTAAATAGGTTGTTCCATTTTTGGCATTAGCGACAACCGGCTCATTCTGTCCCCATCATTCAACCATATTTTACCGAATCATATTATCCATCTTTTTATTTTTTTTAGTTGTTAGTAGTTTAGCTTTGGTAAATTACACTATTAGTCTCTGGTACATGTGCTAAAATATATGTTTCGTATCTTTATTTTTGAAAATTAACTCGGCTAGTCCTTGGGTTTGTTTTTTTACACACTTAGTCCCTACTGACATGAAATGACTACTTTACCATTATATTTTCTTTTTTCATTTCTTTTATTTCTTTATTAGTTTTAGATTAAAAAATAAAATAAAATAAAACAAATATCACACCCCTCCATAAACTACCACCACTGCCTTCAACATCATCACCATGTCCAGCCACAACCATCATCGGAAACCGCCATCACCCTCCTTCTGCGATTAGACACCCTTTCTTCTCTGACCGAAAACCAAATCTCCATATTTATCAATGGATGATTCTCAAGGATCTTATCAACCCAACTCCGATGACATCCCAATAGAGCTATTCGTCTTCAAGAAGAAGAAGTCACACAACATAATCACTACCTCTAACACTGCCAATCAGATTCACCTATTCAACTACAAATTGAGTCTTCTTCATTGACCTCCTCCATCGAACACTCATAATCTGTTTCTTAAGTCTCTACTTGTTGATTCTTCTGGAAATCCCCTCATTTTCATTGCTCGTAACTAGGTTAACTCTTTTCTCTCTTCAGATTCTAAATTTACAACACCACCACTACCATCTCAGATCTGCATTTAGAGAAAAGGAGATCAGAGAAGAAGAAGAAGATTAAGATCAGAGACGAAGCAGGCGTCAAATTCCGACAACCACCTGTGTAATCAACTTCTCCTCCTTCTTCGATCTGCAATTCATTGACACCTCCGATCTGAAACCCTAAGAGATTGATGACATCTATGACAAAACCATAGTTGGTGCTGATGACGTCGACATAACTCGATCTATCAAAACCCTAGTCAATGATGATGACGGTGCACACCGGTGGCAGTTTACCAACGTCTATGACGGCACACATCGGTTGCTTTGGAGATCGGTAGCAGCATACAGGTGGTGGCTTAAGGAGGAATTATTTTAAGGTTTTGAAGAGTTTAGAGAATAGAGACAGTAAAGGGAATGTGGGGTGGGTGGGGAGGTGGGGTTGGGTATAAAGAGGGACCATCTTTTTTTATTTTTTAATAAATAATAATAATAATAACATAAATTTAACTAGAAAAGAAATATATAAAGGGCATTATGATCATTTCAAATGTGACACAGACTAAAATCACAATAAAATCGCATATCAGGGAGGAAGCGTGCACGTTTTAAACAAATGAGGGAAGTTCCGAGTTAATTTTTGAAAATAGGGACTAAACATGCATTTTGACACCTACACGAGGGACCATTGGTGTAATTTACCCTTTAGCTTTTTAAATTCCACTACTAGAATATAAGCCTTTAATGACACACAAAACACGACACACAGTAATCTATGATACGCAAAAGTGCGTATCCTAAAAATAATGTCATCTCTTCTAAAATTTGAAGGATTTAGGACACGCATTTTTGCGTATCCTAAAAATAACGTCATAATAAAAAAAATTAAAAACACGGAGGTTACCTATTAAATATATGTGTCGTGTAGAGACATCGTTTTATAATTATGTTACGAAACGCATGTCCATTATCCTCAATTACAAAATGGCGTCCAAGTCTAGGGCTTTTTTCAAAAATCTCATTCCACACGAACGCCCACCTCTCACTCACCTCACCTCGTCGACGATTCCAATTCCCCTCTACCTTACTCCACCTCGATCAGACTTACCACCATCTCTCTCTCTCTGTCTCTCTCTCTCTCTCTCTCTCACACACACACACACAACAGTTCCCCTCCGTGGTGCAGACCACATCTATCATTGCACCACCACCATGGTCATCGCACCTACATCTCACTACCTGCAACCTCAACACAATCAACCATCACCACCATTACTTCCCTCCACCGCCGCCCTACCATCTCCTCCATCACCACCCCCTTCTTGTTCTATGTGAAACCCTAAATTCGGTACCAACATCTAATAAGGTTTGGAGAAAAAGTTGATCCAAGAAAAATCAAAGTGAACGAATCAGAAGATGCTACTATAAATTCTTAGAAAGCTGCTCAGGTAGGTTATTTACTAATTTTTTTTCTTCAATTCTAAAGATATTTTCTATAATTTGATTTACGAAGCTTTTACTTTGTTCAATTTTGTAGTTAGATTCATTTTTATGCTCTACATATTTTTGTATCTAATTAATAAACTTAGTTGTTTAAGCTTTGAAAAATAGTAGGTTATATGCATAATTTACACGAATAGGTAAGATTGTGAACTAACGCATCTTTATACTTTAATTTGTGCAATCTATACCTCATCTTACACTTTATTCTCATATTTCTTCATAAATTTGCATTATGAATGAAAATCCATGTCAATGGCTATGTGTAATACTAGTGTGTTTACTCATAGTGCTGAAAACATATGGATTTTATGTAGATATCACTTATCTTGAAAGTGCATTGGAAAAAAGGAGCTGGTAAATTAAACTAACTAAATCCCAAATTCATAGTTCACCTCTTCTATCATCTAAAAAATTGAACAATTGAACTTAATATGCATATTATTTTCATATATTTGGTTAACAAATTATGATTTTTTTTCATAGTTTGTTTGGATGGAAGCCCGCCTGCATACCTTTGGGACATGGGATATGGTACAGGAACTGACAACTGGTTAATACACATTGAGGTTTGTTTGTTATTGTTATTAATGATTCAGATGTTATTAATGATTTCTGCATTAATATATCGTCCTTTGATGGAATGCTAGGTTTTAGAGACTTATAAGTGTAAGA